TCGAGAATTTTCGTACTATCATAGATTAGTCGTCGAATTCTGCAATAGTCAACCGCACTCGATGTCGACAGATCATACTTGTCAGGAAGGTTCTTCTCCTCCTCCTGCTCCTCCGTCTCCTTCACCGTTACCACATTGAGCTGGGTGATTAATTGTTCCCACTCATAGGAACTGAAAGATAGTTTCAACCGTGATGAGTTCCACACAATTACAGCAGGAGTAAATGATCTCGCTGGGCTTAGACCGCATCCAATTTGGTATGATCCATTTGGAAACTGCGTGTACAGCAGATAATGGTCCTCGTTCTTGGCCGCTTCTTCGTACCTTTCCAGAATAGCATCCAGCTCACGGTCGTAGTTTACAGATGATTCGTGTGAGCTGCTGGTGGTGAGGTCAAACTCGCTGCAACTTGAACCACTACCACTGGTATCCATTTTTTTTTTTACTAGCTGCCTGACTGACTGACTGACTGACTGCAACCGACTGAGAACTCACTTTTAGCAGAAACCCCCCCACCCCATACACCTAGACGATCGCATCATTGTCAATCCAACTATTATGTTTTGCATCAAGGCCAAGCCATTTGACGTACATTTTTTACCTTTACGACGTAAAACTTTTTCAACTAAATAAACATCTGGATTGGCTGTTTTCTGTAATTCTTCGTCATAAAAGGCTCCTTGATCGGTGCACCTTGCATATCTTCGAGCATGTACGTTGCAGGGTTGGTAATATTAATTTTAGTAACTTTAAATAATTCCGTTGTCCAGCTTGGAACGTATCCCTTGTCGAATAGCATTTGGTTTTGCTGATGCGTACAATGTCACCAACTTTAAACTTACGCGGGCCCGCGATTTTTAAATGAGTATATTTTCGATTTAGATACATTTTTCGTTGGATTTATTAATTTGTGATGGTTTACATCCGATGGTTTGATGACGTGTTCCATTGTATTCATTGGTAATGCTTTGTAATATATCAATCCATTTATACGATCCCATTAAGCTAAAGTATTTGTAAAGTTTATTTTTCAGCGTCCTTATGGCTCTTTCAGCAATGGCCGCTTTCTTGATGCTATATGTACTATAATGATTAATATCATGCTTCTTCATTAAAGTTTGAAATTTACTATTGTAAAATTCTTTACCTTGATCAGATTGTAGATTTTTCGGCGTACGTTCCGTATGTGCGAGGATATCGAAAACGCACGAGTTATCTCCTCACCCGTCTTTGTCTTTACGGTCTAGTCCACATAAACTTGGAAAAAGAATCGATTACGACGAGATTAATTTGAAATTTTTATTTTGATAGCATAAGGTCGCATTTCAGCACCAGTCCGTCTGCCATAAATAGTCTAAGCCTTTTAATGATGGTACGTCGTCTTAGATAATTTTTCGAGCAGGCTTGTGCAGCTCGTTAACTAGTTGTAGCTTCTCCTTGGCGTACGTCATCATGTTTTAACGCTTTAAATTGTTGTTCCATCGGCTTTATACGCTTAGCAAGATCGAATGTTTTCAATGATATATATGATGTGCGTCCTTGCAAAAGTTGTAATTCATTCAATGATATTTTTCCGTATTGGAGTCAAATCGGTATGAGACTTAATTGTAGCCAACTCCTGTTCTATTCTTGTTGTTATATTTGCAATAGAGTCATCTACATATTTTTTTGTTGCCATATGTTTACCAGAAGTAGGCGGATTTCTCGAAATAAACTCTGTTATTTGATCTGTTTTTGCTGTTATTTTTTTTAAATCAATCACTGAAGTATCTACGTATTTTTTAGTTGCCGCATCTGAATTATCTGTGGGATCTTTTATATTACACAACTTTACGTTCTTGAAGTCAACATTTCCATCAGAAGTATGGGGTAGTGTTAACTTTGGCGGTGTACGCATATACGGAAGTGTCTTTTGTTTATCAAAGCGACGTCCGAATTTATCAAGACTCATCGTGTAAATGAAAGACCAAGGAACTAGATTACT